AGAACCCAATTTAAAAATGGGCAAAGGACCTGAATAGATGGTCTCCAAGATCAGGCAGATGGCCAACAGACATATTAAAAGATGCTCAATGTCACTAATCATCAGAGAAATGCACATTAAAACCACTATGAACTATTACCTCACACCTGTCAGAATGACTATCATCAGTTAACAAACAACAAGGGCTGGCAAGGATGTGGAGAAAAGGGAACCCTTTTGCATGACTGATGGAAATGCAGATTGGTGTAGCTACTGTGGTAAGCTCTGTGGAGATACCTAAAAAAAATTGATTATGGATCTGCCTTTTGACCCAGCGATCCCAATTCTGGGAATATATTGAAGGAACCCAAAACACTAATTTGAAAGAACATAAGCACCCATATGTTCATTGCAGCATTATTTACAATCTCCAATATATGGAAACAGCCCAAGCTTCCATCAGTAGATGAATGTATAAAACAACTATGAGACATGTACCCAATGGAATACTACTCTGCCATAAAAAAGAGGAAAATTTTACCCTTTTAAACGGTATGGATGGACCTGGAGTACATTATGCTAAGTGAAATAAGCCAGACTGAGAAATACAAATACCACATGATTTCACTTATATGTGGAATCTAATAAACAATCTGCACTAACAAGCAAAATGGGGACAGACTCATAGATGGAGAGCAGGATGACAGCTAGTGCAGTGAAGGATGTTATGTGGTGGTGGCATTGAGCAAAAAAGAAAAAGGGCTCATGGACCTGGAAATCAACATGGTGATTGCTGTTGGGAGGAATGCATAAGGGGGCCAAAAGGTAATGTAAAAAACAACAAAAAAAATTAAAAAACTAATAAGATAATATTTTTAAGATATTGGGTTAAATAAAATAGTTACAGCCCTGGCTGGAGTGGCTCAGTGGATTGAGCGCCGGCCTGTGAACTAATGCATCGCTGGTTCGATTCCCAGTCTAGGGCACATGCCTCGGTTGCAGCCCAGGTCCACAGTAGGGAGTGAAGGAAAGGCAACCACATATTGATGTTTCTCTCCGTCCCTTCCCTTCTCTGAAAGCAAATAAATAAAATATTTTACAAAATAATATTAAAAATACAATAAAAGTTATAAATTTGTCCCCTGTTTCTTTTCACTTATTAAATGTGACCACTGGAAAATTTAAAAAATTAGCTATATTTTATATATCATAACATAAAATATAAATATTGTATTTATTTATATATAAATATATATATATATAATCTATATATATGCTCATATTGTATTTTTATTGAACAGAACTGGTATAGGTATATATGAGAATCATAGAAAGAAAACATTAATTAGCTGGAATTGTCACATAGGAGATGAGACTCTTGGATACAAACGGTGAAAACTCAACAGAGACAGCTTAATAAAACACATACACCACACACATAGAAATACTGGGAGGTACTTTATTGGTGCAACCAACTAAGAATTCTACAAAGTATATTTGGGACTGCAGGAGACCATTTCACCTACCATGTGAAAACAACATAGTCAAGACAGGCAAAATTATTATGATGCTGTTTGATCCTCAGACTCACAATTCCCTATGTATGCAACCTATTCAGGAAAGAGTCTATTTTACTCTAGCTTCACTAGATAAATTCTGGGAAGAATCCTAACTAGGCTGGCCATACCTGTGGGTGGGGTAGGCCAGAGCCCTATGATTTCTAGGCAAAACCAGTCAGAAGGAGCTTAAACTGAAACAAGAGATCTTATCTGTAAGGAATTTTAAAACAATTTTTCCTCTCTAGTTTACTTCTTTAAAAAAAAAGATATCTTTACGTACCAACCAGAATGACTAAAAAATAATGACACCATGAAATGCTGGTAAGGATGTAGAGAAACTCATTCATTTCCAACTACTCTTAAAAACACTTTGGCTGTTTCTTAAAAACCTAAACATGCCATTACCAAATTGCTCAGCAATTGCACTTATTGACATTTATCCCAAATAAATGAAAATTTATGTTCACACACAAACCTGTGCATGAATGACCATCACAGGACATTCAGAATTTTTCAGAATTGCCAAAAAATTGGAAACCATGATGTCCTTCAACAGATGATTAATAAACTGTGTTACGTGCATACCATGGAATACTACTCAGCGATAAAAAGAAACAAACTATTGATACATGCAGTAACCTGAATGAATGTCTAGGGAAATTTTGCTGAATGAAGAAAGTCAATCACTAAAAATTGAACACTGTATTATTTCATTTATATAGCATTCTTGAAATGACAAAATTATAGGAATTGAGAAGAGGTTAATGGTTGCAAGAGGTTAGGGATGAGGATATGGTGGGAAGTGGATGTGAACTTGGCTATAAAACCACAACATCAGGTATTGGAACTGGTCAGTATTTGACTGTGATCATACTCCACATGAACCCACACAAGTGATAAAGTTGTATAGAACTACAAACACATACATACATATACAATGAGTACAAGCATAATTAGGGAAATCTAAGATTGGCAGGTTATATCAATGTCAACATCCTGATTGTGATATTATACTAAAGTTTTGTATGATGTTACCTATTTGGAGTGTATATTTGGAAAAACTAGGAAAAGTATGTTTAATTTACAAATCTAAATAACATTTCAATTAAAAAGTAGTGAGAGAAAAGCTGAGAAAAGTTAACACTGATAAAAGATCCTCGACCAGAGAACACTTAATATAAGGCTTTTAATCTATTTGCTTCTACCAGATGTTACATTCCTTAGCATTGAACTTTATCTCCATTAATGTCTTCACCTGAATGACTATACTTTTTTCACTTGTCCTGTATTTGCTACTGTGTGTTGTGAGCATAACACACAGTGTATCTTGGTCATCTCCTGTCTCATCTCAAACACTTCTTCTCACATATAGTATTCTTACTGGTGAACCATTTGTCCGTTCACAAAGCTAGTGACTTAAAAGTAAGAACAATGTTCAAGGCACTGGCTAGGGCATTTCACTGCCAGTCTCTCTTGACCTGATCTGGCAACCTCATTTAGTCTTCCAGGTCAGGCTTCCTTAAATCATGCTATTTTCCTTAATCTTATATATAGAAAGGTAGCCTAGAAAATTCTTGTATTTTTGTCATTTTAGATTGTGCTGGTTAAGAACAAGAGATTTGGGATTAGGCAAACCTGTTTGAACCAAGGGTTTGCTACTTACTAGCTATGACCTGAGGCTATTCAGTCTGTTTCCTCATCTGCAAAATGAGGACACTAATAATATCTACTTTATTGGGCTATTATAAGGATAAAATAAGATAATGTATTTCAAATACCCTGCATACAGTAAGTGTTCATTTGTTATTATTCCAGTATTCTTGCTCTTTCTGCCCTTTGATGTCATAGCAAAGTAGCTTTGCACCAACAGGCTTTTTGGGGGTATCCAAGGCCAGATCCATTCTTCCAGTCTTTTGCCTCCCAAAGTCCTAACATGTTTTTGCTACCTTGTGCCTTTATAAAGCTAAAACAGATAACTGGGCATCATAATGGAAGAATGTGGCTACTGACCAGGGATAGCAGGGTCATTCCACCCTTGTTTGAGTCATAAACCTAGACAGTCCTACAGTCTTCCCTTGTCTACTCAGCCCTTGGATGGGTTTAGCAATGTCCCACCTAGGCTGCCACAGGTAAGGGGTAAACATCAATGAACTTGTAGGCTTATCCTTTTTCCTGGTTCCACCATATTCCTCAGGTCTAGAGCTCAATTGTCCTCTCCTGCATTAGTCAGAAATATAGTAACTTTATTGACATAATTAAAAACAGAGTGGTGGGATAATCTTTCCCCAATCTTGAGAGATCCTGAAAGCCCGTTGGAGAATGCAAGCAATGACATTATCACAAGCCTTTCTTTACACATGAAAGTTAACATACAGTAGGGCAGTGGTTCTCAAAGTGTGGTCTCTGGACCAGCAGCATCAGCATTACTTGGAAATTTGTTAGAGATGCAAAATCTTAGGCCCCATCACAGACCTTCTGAATCTGTGCATTAAGAAGCTCTCCATTATGCTAAATGAAATACGCAAGATGGTGAAAGACAAATTCCATATGATCTCACCTATAAGTGGAATCTAATCAATGAAACAAACAAATGAGCAAAACAGAATCAGAGACATGGAAATAAAGAACAAACTGACAGTAACCAGAGGGGAGGGGTGAGGGGGATAATGGGAGAAAGAAGGGGAAAGGTCATCAAGGAACATGTATAAAGGACCCATGGACAAAGACAATGGGGTGGGAGGATTGAATGTGGAAGGCCGGGGTGGGTAGGGGAGGGGAGAGTAATGGGGGAAAATGGGGACAGCTATAATTGAACAACAATAAAAAATGAAAATAAAAAATAATAAAAAAGAAGCTCTCCATGTGACTCAGATAAACACTAAAGTTTGAGAGCCACTGGTGTAGTAGTTAGAAGCACAGACTCTTGAAGTCACATTGCTTGGGTTTAGCTCCATCACTAGCTGTATGACCTTGAGCAAGCTACTCATACTTCTACACCTCAGTTTTCTTATCTGTAAAATGGGAATAACAGTACTCTTTCTCCTTGAAATTCCCAATTTTTCCCCCTCTTGTCTTTAGGAACACTACATTTTCCTGGTTTATCTTATATATCACTGGCCCCTCAGCCACATTTGCTTGTCCCTTGTTCTCTGCTTGACATCTAAATGTTGGAGGCTCCAAGGACTCAGTCCAGGAACTTCTTCCTCTTTCTATCCCATTCTCTCCCTAGATAATGTCCTCCAATCCCATGGCTTTAAATATTATCAATGCACTGTGACTCCCAAATTAATTTATATCTTTGTCTCCAATATCACTATTTGACACCTCAATTTGGAATTTTATTAAGCTTCTGGACCTTCATATGTCCAAAACTGAACTCTTGGTACCTGACCAACCCCTTCTTCTGGAGTCCTCCATATTTTAGTTAATGATCCCATAATTTAACCAAGTCAAGAAACCTGTGAATAATTCATGGTATGGCAGGCCCATCCTTCTGGGTCTCTCATAGTGCTCCATGCCATAGAAAACCATGGCCTTGAACTATTGCCTAGCCACTGCTTATAGGTTGCAGGCACTGAAGCAGGTTGTACCGTTGGGGAAAAAAGAAGAAACCTGGAATACCCTTGAGTATTCTTTCCTCTTATACTCTATATCCAGACCATCACCAAAACTTATTGTTGCTAACTCCAAAATACATACAGAAATATCTTTTCTCTGCACTCCAACCACCTTACTTCCAGCCACCATCATCTCTTTATGTTGTCTACATACAATAGCCTCCTATTGGTTTCTCTGCTTCCACTCTCGCTTATTATGGTATGTTCTCCAAAAGCATCAGGGAGATCTTGGAAAATGTGTATCTGATCAGTTTACTTTTCTGCTAAATACCTTCAAATATTTTCTGAACAATTATTCAGAACAAAAATGAAATCTAAGTCCTTGACCAAGGACAGTAAGTCCTACATGATCTAAACCCTGCCTGCTTCTCAAATTTCTTCTTACATGACTTTCCTTATCGTTCCAGAACACTCCTGTCACACCATCTTTTTCTGCATTTCTACAAAAAGTCAAGTTCCTTCCTGTCTTCAGGCTCCTGTACTTACTATTCCCTCTGCTTGGAACATTTCTCCCTTAGATCTGCAAATGTTTTAAGCAACAAGATCATCGTTCAAATGTCACCTCCTCAGAGAGCCATTTCCTTGCCAACGAGTCAAAAGTAGACCCTCCATTTCAATCACATCACCCTGTTTTTATTTTACTTATGGCATTTATCAAAGCATCTTGTCAGGGAATCAAGATGGTGGAGGAGTGAGTGGAAATCACGCTGACCTCCTACCAGGGCCAACCTGGAATTACAACTAAATTGTGGAGAAATCACCTGGAACAAACCACTGAATAATAACGAGAGAGGAGCCTTCTAACCTTGGAGACAGAAGGATTGGCTTTAGCTTAATCTAACTGGTAAGGAGCGGTACAGACATGAGAAGTCAGGCATGGTGCCCACAGGCAGCAGCAGGAGAAGGATATTGAAACAGCCAGTTGCATCCCCAGTAGATAAGTGAGGTCTAAACCTAAAGCAGGGATCTCTAGCCAACAGCACCAAAGCCCAAGAAGTACACACAGAACAGCCAGCTGCGAAGAACGGCAGGGTTGCTCTCTGCCAGTGACAGGCAGCTGGAGGTGCAAAGAACCTTCTATAGGGCAAACACAAAATTTTTATTTGCAGCCACTTGCCCTGGTCTCCAGCAAAAGTGGGGCAGAGTGGGCTAGCGACACAGGACAAGATGGGGAAGGAGGCTTTGGGGAGAGAGTGGCCAGTGGGATCTCGGTGCTGACTCATCCCCCATGTGGCAGCAGCCATTTTGCTCAGGAAAAGGCCACTCCCCCTGAGTGGCACCAGCATCAAAGGACCCAGTAGCCCTGCCTCCAGGTGGATTCCACCCACCCTGTGCTGTCTAAGCTGCCTGCTGAGTGCAGAGTGGTAGCCACAGACAGTAGATCCCTGGCTAAAGGGTGCGCAGAGCAGTCTGGCAACACTTGAGGAGAGACTGGGGATGGAGGCTTTGGGGAGAGAATGGACAGAGTAGCTGGTGGGATCCCAGTGCGGACTCCTTTCCCATACAGTAGTAGTGTGAAAGGATCCAATAACCCCGCCCCCAGGAGGGACTACGCCCCACCCTGAGCTGTCCAAGGTAGCCTGCTGAGTGCAGAGTGAACAGATTAACAGCTGAAGGAGGCAGTCACAAACAATAGATTACTGGAAGTCTTGAACAGACTGCTTACAGTCAGACAAGGTCAACATCTGACATCATCAGAGGCAGATACAGAAAGTAAAAGCAGCAGTCTCCAACCATAGAAGTTCACACCACAAAGTCAGGAAATCAAGACAGATCAACTCAAGAAGCAGAAGCAAAAGAGAAAAGTCTCACAAATAGTGGGAGACAAAGAAATACATCCCACTCGAAGGGAAAGAAGGAATCACCAGAAAGAGAGATAAGTGAAAAAGAGGCAAGTAAACTCTCAGATATTGAGTTCCAGACAATGATTCTAAGGAAGCTCAATGAGCTCAGTGAGCTCAGAGAGAATTACCAAAACCTACAGGGAAACTACGAGGAACTTACTGCAAACAATATCAGCATGAAAAAGGACATAGACACTATCAATAAGAAACAAGAGGAAATGAAGAATACAATTTCTGAACTGAAGAACACAGTAGATGGAATAAAAAACAGGCTAGATGAAGCTGAGGACCAAATCAGCGAGCTGGAGGAAAATGTAGAGAAAAGCTCCCAAAAAAAGCAAGAAAATGAAAAAAGACTCAGAAAGAATGAAGAGGCATTTAGGGAAATGCAGGACAACCTGAAATGTAATAATATCCATATAATAGGGATACCAGAAGGAGAAGAGGATGAGGAAGGGATAGAGAACCTGTTTGAAAAAGTAATGATGGAAAACTTCCCCAATTGGAGGAGAGAAAAAGTGACACAAGTCCAGGAAGCACAGAGGGTACCATTCAAGAAGAACCCAATGAGGCCCACTCCAAGACACATCATCATTAAAATGGCAAATACCAAAGACAGACAGAGAATCCTAAAGGAAGCAAGTGAGAAAGAGGTAGTAACATGTAAGGGAGCCCCAATATGGCTAGCATCTGATTTCTCAAGAGAAACACTGCAAGCTAGAAGGGAAGGGCAAGAAATAGTTCAACTAATGAAAAGCAAAGGCCTGCAACCAAGACTGCTCTACCGAGCAAGGCTCTCAATGAAATTGGAAGGTGAAATAAGGAGGTTCCCAGACAAAAGAAGACTAAAAGAATACACCTCCACCAAACCAGCACTGCAAACTATGCTAAAGGGACTGCTTTAAGGTGAAGAAAATGTTTCTATGAATACCCAGTTCCTTTCAGAGTTGCCAGTACTTGATATTACCAATATTTTTAATACTCATTAATCTGGTTGTGACAATGATGTTATTTTAATTGTCCTTTTACTATTTGTTGAAACTAAACCTGTTTTAGTATATTTCTTGCCTATTTCTGTTATTTTTAATTTAAAAAAAAAAGCTTTAAATGAGTTTTTGGTATTTTTTACCCATTTATTGATTAAAGGTTTGTAGAATTCTTTTTCCTTTAAAAAAACAACAAGAAACAATAAAACTATTAACCATGGTTTTGATGTGTTGCAAATACTTTTCTATTCCTTGTCCTTTAACTTTTTTATATGTATATTACTATATAGTTAAATTTTTAATATAGCCATATTGTCAAAATTTATAGCTTCTGGGGTTGAATATTTTACTTCAGGTCATGAAAAATAATAGTTCTATTTTCTTATAAAACTTCTTACATTCTACATATTGATTTTTTGGCTCACCTTAATATGTTTTGTACAATGTGTGAAATAGGGCTCTATATTTGTTTTATTTCAAGTAATAATGGTCCATGAACCTTATTTGTTGAATAAGCCTTATTTTCTCCATTGATTTGAAATATTAACTTAATCATACATATATTAATCAGATATATACATTTGTCTCTGGAATGTCATTATATTTCATTGATCTACTTGATTATTCCTGTGCTGGTGTCATATAGGTTTAATTGCTGAGACTTTATAAGGGTTTTAATTTTTTTAATATAATTAACTTTAACATTTAAAAAATAAATAAAATCAATCTGCATTTAAGAAAGAAAGAAAGAGAGATGGAACTGCTACCTTTTGTGACAACATGGATAGAACTGGAGAATATTAAGCTAAGTGAAATAATCCAGTTGATGAAAGACAAATACCACATCTTCTAAACTATAAGTGGACTCTTTTCAACAAAATAAATTAATGAACAAAATAAACTACAGTCATGGAAACATGGAGAAGACTGAAAGTGAGCAGAGGGGATGGAGAAAGAAGTCAATGGTGTGAAGAAGGGGAAGGGACTAGACAAAGGACATATATGAATGACCCATGGACATGGACAACAGAGTGGAATTGACTGTGGGAGTGGGGGGTGGGGTGGGATGGGTGGGGAGTGTAAAGTGGTAAAAATTGAGACAACTGTAATAGAATAAACATGATTTATAAATAAAAAATTAAAAGATTTTTAGAAAGCACCTTGTAATTGTATATTTATTTTTGTGTTTTTCTCTGTGCACTAGAATGTAAACTCCATGGGAGCAGGAGTCTGTCTGTCTTGTTCACTGTTGTATCCCAGTCTCTAGCACAATGCGGGCACATAAAAGGCCTTCAGCAAATATTTGCTTAATTAATGAATATTCTCAAATAGTTGTAGTTCTCCAAAAATGGATATTTCTCATCTATATGCCAAAACATGCCAGACATATATTACTACATGCATGCCTATATTTATACTTAACCTTAGACTCTTTTTTTTTCCTCTGAGCAATATATGTCTCAATATGTTGTTCACGGATTGAATAAGTGAAGGTATGAACTTCTACAAACTTTTCTCTGTTTCACCTAGCACATATGATCCTGATCTTAGCAACAGTGATCTTGATATTTGCTTAGCTATTATATTTCCCTGAAAACACTACCCTCCAAATGAAGGAAGAGGGCTACTGACATGTAAGAATGGAAGGAAATAACAGTAAAAGCAGTTAACAAAGGAAGTTCTAGACTAAGCCTGCTGCCACTTTGGGGTGTGGTCCTCAGTTAAGAGTGGAGAAGATGAAATGCTTTACCCACTGCAGAGGATCTCAAACTTCAGTGCATATTTATTTATAAGACAGCAGTGATTCTGATTCACTAGGTCTGGGGTAGGGGTAACCTGCAACCTGGTTTGTTCTAGACTTTCCCAATTTTAGTACTGGAAGTCCAGTGTCTGGGGAAAACCCAGATGATTTGTCACCCTTGTTCTGAGTGAATTATTTTAAAAGAACATCCCCAGGTGTTTCTGATGCAGGTGGTCCCCAGACCACATTTTGAGACACAGAAATGCAGGTAAAATACTTAGTCATAACTTACCTCACTAACTCTGATTTCCACTCTGATACCAAAAAAATAGGATTGGCTGAGCTGCTGCCATTCTTTTTCCAACCTTACCTAAAAGGAACACTTTGTAAGGCTTCAAGTGATTCA